AGGGTGAGACAAAACGCAAAAGGAGGCAGGAAAGCTGGGGGAGGGGAGAACCAGGGGATAGGCTGGGGGCATCTTGTTCCCTAGAGTTGAAACCAGGCAGAGCAGCAAGTGCAAAGTGGAGCCAGCTGAAGTCCACTTTCCTTCCTCTACAAAGTTAGTACTCTGCCCTTCAGCCTTCCAAATGGAGGGGAGAGGAGGCTGAGGGAGGTAGTGTCAATCCATGCTTGGCTAGCTACATGAAAAGTGGTAATATTCAAAGTGCCCCTCCCTTGTGGTGGGAGGGGCAGCTTCCTTTGTGGAGTTGAAACCAAGCAGAGCAACAGATGCAAAGTGGACCATTTCTATTCCTGTGTTCAAACCACAACTATCCAGCTAACATGTCAAACATTATGGGGGAGGAGGGGAGGGATTGTCTCCAGCAATTATCTCCAGGCACAGATTATAATAGTTGACTTTATGTAGTCCTTTAAAGTTTATAAAGTACTTTGTGCACAGTATGTCCTCTGAGCCGCCCTGTGAAGTAGCTGCTTCAGCGATCATTATTTTGCAGGTGAGAAAATAAGACTCAGGTTGAGATTTGCCCATGATTATCCACTAGTAAATGTCAGAAGGTGGAGTTGACCCCATGCCTGATTCCAGCTCTACCAATCTACCAGTACTCTGTGAAATTCATAATTAAATCCTTTCTAGATATGACCGCTTTGGCAAATTTTTCTAATGAACCCTATTTTGCTGTTTTAAGTTAGAGGTGAGCCCTGATTCTCAAGGCTCTGACTTGAAGTTGTTCAAAGTCCTACCAAGCTTGAAAGGCTTCAAGTACAGCCTGGCAGTGGTGATGGCATCTCCTCTGAGAACCAGCCTAGCTATTAGGAAAAGCTTATCACCAGAACACTGACTGCCAGCAAATTTTTTGGCTACAACTCATGAGAACTGTCTACTCAAGATGGTGGTGGAGGCATGGAACGGCTAAGGGAGTCATCATCTGCATTTGTAGTCCTCTAAACAATGAAAGTATAGTCCCTTGGAAGTATTGAAATGAATGTGAAGTAATTAGTGTACAACTGTACTAGGGAAGATAAATTACATTGCAATCGATTTTTAATTATTCATATGGTAATTTAACCAGAAAAATCTTGCTGCCAGATTCTATCGACATAATTAAACAGGTTAATATAAAAAATCCTGAGTTTCCAGAGTTAATATCTCTCATTTACTTTTACTTTGTCATACCCCCAGCAACCTTTTGGGACTTCTTTTAAGAAATGAAAACATTTAATTAGCTCCCCTAACCTAGAGGTATGACAAGCAAATGTTGCTACTGAATCCGGAAGAAATGTCTGAGATACAGTGGAGTTGAGGGCAGAATACTGAGCAAAGAGTCAAGAGGGGAAACAAACCATTTTTTCCTAGTCAGCCTTTCATGATATGACTTGAGATACAGTCACTGTCCCAATGGCCACAGCAAAAATTGGTTGCACTTTCAAGTTGAAAAGGCTCAAAGTATAAATCCACATTTCTATAAATTACCATCAAAACCCAGAAGGAAGAGATAGAAAGGGAAATTCCATTTAAAATAACTACAGATAAAATATTTGGGAGTCTGCCTGCCAAGACACGCAAGAACTATATGAACACAATTACAAAACACTTTTCACATAAAAAAAACCATGTAAACAATTGAAGAAGTAGTAATTGCTGATGGGTAGACCAAGCCAATATAATAAAAATGAAAATATTACCTAGATTAACTTATTTATTCAGTGTCATACCAAACAAACTACCAAAGAACTATTTTAGAGAGCTAGAAAAATCTGGATCTGGAGGAACAAAAGATTAATTATATTAAAGGAATCAATGAAAAAAAATGCAAGAAGGCAGCCTAGCAGTACTCAATCTCAAACTATAATACAAAGTGGCAATCAAACAATCTGGTACTGGATAAGAAATAGAGAGGTTGATCAATGGAATAGATTAGGTACACAATATACAGAAGTAAATGACCACAGTAACACAAAAGATCCCAGTTGTTGAGCTCACTATTTGACAAAAACTGTTGGGAAAACTGGAAAGCAGTATGGCAGAAACTAGGCACTGACCAACATCTCACACCAGATACCAAGATAAGATCAAAATGGGTACATGATTTAGATGTAAAGGGTGAAATAATAAGAATATTAAGAAAGCAGGGGGGAAATTACTTGTTGGGTATATGGATAAAGGAAGAGTTCATGACCAAATAAGAGATAGAAAGGTTCATGGGAGGTAAAATGGATAATTTTGATAACATTAAATTTTAAAAGGTTTGCATAAACAAAACCAATGCAGCCACAATTAGAAGGAAAATAGGAAACTGGGGGAAATTCTTACAGCAAGTTTCTCTGGTAAAGATCTCATTTCTCAAATACATAGGGAACTGTGCCAAAGTTATGAAAGTAAGAGCCATTTCCAAGTTGATAAATGGTCAAAAGATATAAATGGACAATTTTCAGAAGCAGAAATCAAAACCATCAATAGTCATATGGAAAAAATGCTCAAAATCACTAATAGTTAGAGAAACACAAATTAAAACAACTCTGAGATCCACCTCATACCTATTAGATTGGCTGACATGAAAGAAAAGGAAACTGACAAATGCTGGAAGGGATGTGGAAAAATTGTAACACTAATGCATTGTTGGTGGAATTATGAACTAATCTAATCATTTGGAGAACAATTTGGAACTATGCCCAAGGAGCTATAAAACTGTGTGGACCCCTGGAACCAGCAATAAGGGATCAAATAGAAAGGAAAATGACCGATATGTACAAAAATATTTATGGCAGCTCATTTTGTGATGACAAAGAATTAGAAACTGAGAAGATGCCCATCAATTGAGGAATGACTAAACGAGTTATGGTTTATGAATGTGATGGAATTCTATTGTGCTATAAGCAATGATGAATGGGACGGTTTCAGAAAAACCTGAGAAGACTTATATGAACGGATGCAAAGTGAAGTGAACAGAGCTAGGAAAACATTGTACACAGTAACAGCAATATTGTAATGACAATCAGCTGAAAGGCTTATCTTCTCTGATCAATATAATAATCCATGATGATTCCAAAGGACTCATGATGAAAAAGGCTATCCACTTTCAAAGAGAGAACTGATGGGACTCTGAGTGCAGGCAGAAATTTTCTTCATTTTATTTTTCTTGCTTTTTTCATATCATGGCTAGTATAAAAATATGTTTTGCATGACTTCATATATAAAATGGATATCATATTTCTTGCCTTCTCAATGGGTGGCAGAAGGTAGGGGAAAGGAGAAAATTTGGGACTCAAAATAAAAATCATTTTTAATGGCCTCAAGTGACCAGAGAATGAAATCACTGGAGGCTCTGGCTCTGCTAATCCAACAAGGGAAATTTGCAGAGGTTTATGGATAGAAGGAGCCCTAGACTTGGAAAGAGAAGACATGGCAACTCTGTCCACTAGCCGCAAGTCCTTAGACAAGTCATTTCACTTTACTAGGCCTGAATTTCCCCATCTGTAAAACTGAGGAGGTTGGCTAAGATGGTCTCTAAGGTACTTTCTGGTCATAAAAAGTGATGAGTTTAATAAGCTAATCGCTTGTAACCCAGTTAATGGTGAGCTTGCTATGAGTCCCAGTAATTCTTCGGTGGTTTTGGAATATAAAGGGAAATGGAGAGCAAACTAGCAACTCTTATCAACTTCTTCCTTTTTTTCTTTCTCCATAAACATGACAACCCATTCATGTTGTCCCTGGGTCACAAGATAGTGGAGATCTGTCTGCTGATTTTATGATGAACAGAAAGGGGGACTTTTTCTGAAATATTTGCTTTGAGAGGCCCACAATGCAAAAAGATAAACACTGAGTCGAAGAGAGATGAAAGGACTTGTTAGTGAGTGACATCTTTGAAGGATTTCCCCTTTGGAGATGAGGTTATGTCAGCCTTAGTGTCCGGAGCAGTATCTACCTCCCCACTTTAAACATGCTTCTTTTTTCTTAGAAGCTTTTTTTTTCTTTTTTCTTTCCGTTTTTGACAGGATCTATGATTTTATTGCTATGAGAAAACTCCCTCTACCGTTGCAGAATGGCACCTGAGTTTTTGGAAGTTGCCTGGGGCAAAGAGAGGTTAAGGGTCACACAGCTCAGAATCTCACGGCCAATGTGGGTCAGAAACTGGACTTGAATCCAGGGCTTCCTGGCTTTGAAGGCCAGCACTCTGTCCATTAGAGTACTCTACCTCTATAGAATTAGTGCAAAATTCTTTACTACAGTTAACAAACAAACAAACAAAAATGCACCTAGTCACTCCAGCCAATCTACACAAACCATAACTACCTTATAGGACGGCCAATTAAAATAATTTAATTAACTGCTCGTGACATCCCCTACAATAAAAAGTACTGTAAATGGTTGACTTAAAAATGCAAGGAAGAGGAGGGCATCAGATTATGCTGTCTTCACCTGGGTCTCCCTCTGGAAAGGACAAAGGAAGATGTACGAGCCTCCCTAGTCCAAATGTTGTGGAGGCAGAAATCTTTCGCACTTTCCCGGGCCGAGAAAGGTACTAGCTACCCCAGCTGCGCTGAGGGTCACAGAGCAGGTGGACTGAATTGCGGAGGATGACCGAGCACAACAGGAAGGAAGGAAGGAAGGAAGGAAGGAAGGAAGGAAGGAAGGAAGGAAGGAAGGAAGGAAGGAAGGAAGGAAGGAAGGAAGGAAGGAAGGAAGGAAGGAAGGAAGGAAGGAAGGAAGGAAGGAAGGAGGGAAGGGAGGGAGGGAGGAAGGAAGGGAGGGAGGAGGGAGGAAGGAAGGGAGGAAGGGAGGGAGGGAGGGAGGGAGGGAGGGAGGGAGGGGGAGAGAGAGAGGGAGAGAGAGAGAGGGAGAGAGAGAGAGAGAGAGAGAGAGAGAGAGAGAGAGAGAGAGAGAGAGAGAGAGAGAGAGAGAGAGAGAGAGAGAGAGAGAGAGAAAGATTTATCAGAACTACCGAAGAATCTTCTCAACCGAGATTTGCCGCCTCTGGTGAGTTGGGGAGGAAAGACAAGAAAAGTGAACTAAGCTGGTTAGCTTAGGAAAAAGGAGGGGCGCGCGAGAGCCTTGCCACGGAGCAGAGCGGACAGTGGAGCACAGAGCTGAACGCAGCAAAGACTAAAGGTCTCTTGCACCGGGAGCAGAGGGACCGAAGGAGAGTGGAGCGGAGAACAGCCCAGAACCGAGTAGGGGAGCGCAGAAACTAAGTGACAAGAAACTGCAGTGCACCCGGCTGGCCAACGCTAAAGGACTATCCCACGCGTCTGCGGAGTTAGGCGGGTGAGAGCTGCTCCACAGTGGCCCCCTCGCCCCTCGTCACTTGCCTCTCAACTATTGGACCAGAATGCCCTGGTGGACGTCCCCACCAACTCCTGCCCCGCCTCCAAGCGGAACAAACCGAGAGACGTTCTCGTTGATTCAGGACTCCAGGGACTCACCCTGGGTTCAGGGGAGGGAATGAAGGTTTGGGGCGCTGCTGTTACCCCTGATCTGTCGATCTCGCATCTTCCCATTGGCCCACTTTCTCTACCAGCTGTGTCCAGCTGTACCACTGCTTTATCAGGGGTTCGTGGCTTCAGCGTTGGGGTAAGGGATGAAGAATGGTGGAAGTGGGTAGCTGGGGTCGTTTTTTTTCTCAACCTCCAGGGGTTCGAGGGCAGAAAGCACAGACTTCTCCTTCTGGGAATATGCTATAGTCCGGAAAGGGGAAGGGAGAGGCGGAAGGATCTTCAGGATTTTAGGTGCCCAAAGTCCTAGGATTTAGAGTTGGAGAGGCCTTAGAGAGGGAGTGTCCCCAGGGAACTGGGTAGGGAAGGAGATCTAGAGTCAGCAAATGGAGTTAAAAGTGCAGATGGCCGGCGGCAAAGGATTATAGGAATCTTGCTTCAGAATTAAAGGAACCTAAGAGTTCTCATAGGCCGACTGGTCTTTCTAAAAATGTAGAAATTGAGGCCCAGGGAAGAGTAATTAATGGCTTAGCTAAGGTCACACAGGGAGTCAGGAGCAAATAGCTGTTCGAATTCGCGCCCACTTCTCTGTCACAAATTTCAGTACACTTTCCACTGCAGAAAGGTAGAAAGAGGCTTTCAAAAGGGCAAAGGCCGGATTGAAATTGACGTGAATGCGTCACCTCCGCACTACCCTGCCTGCCCTGATCTGTGACTCTCCTTGTCTCAGGTGAAAAATTGCCCTACTGAGTTGCAACAACACCCAGAGACAACCGGGTTCGAGGAATAGGAGAAGTTGCCGAGTTCAAGTGATTGGTTGGGAGACTGGCTAAGTTTAGGACAGGATCGTATTCTGCAAAACTGACAATAGGTCCTGTGGAGGGGAGAGAGTTGGACCAAAGTCATCCATGAGCCTGCCCTTCCCATTCATCCCCACCCCCACCCCCGATACACACAGTAACCAACAAATGGGTACACCCCCTCAAGGAGCCGAACCTGCTACCCTGATCTTAGCTATTACACCCGTAAAGGGAGGCTGAGATACCTGCTTCTGAGAGTCTGCTTCCTGTGTCTAACTCAGGAAAGCATAAGTCCAGCCTAGTACAAGACTTTATTGACTGAATTTCAGCGGGCTTGGCCAGATCCTCGTCCACAATATTTAAATTACTCTATGGAGATACGTTCCAGGCTCAGCCCTTCCTCCGACAGACTTTTAATGCAGTGATAAAGAAGCCAGGTACGACTCAGGAATGTCTAAGGTTGAGAAGTGAAAGCAATCTGATAAGGGACAAGAGAACCTCTGGTCTAGGCAAACTAGGGATTACTAAACTGACTGGGTAGATGTGGGAGAAAAGTTAGTTCCTGAATGAAGAAAAATACTCTATACACAGGACCCAAGAGCAGCCCCCAAGTACCAGTAAGAGGGAGGCTAGAAGCTGAAACATTGGCCAAGGATAATCCTTGGGATAATTGAAGTATAGATTATACACACACACACATATCTGTGTGTATATGTATACATATACATATATAAGTATATAAGAAGTATAGATTTAATTAGAGCTAGACAGGACCTTATCATCTATATAGTTCAACCTCCTTCCTTTTGCAAATGAGGAAACTGAGGCCCAGAGAAATTTAAGTAATTTGTCCAGTCACATGGATAGTGTCAAAGTCAGGATATGAATACAAATTTACTTCCTCTAAACCAGTACTCACAGGATGATTCCTCTGAGTTAGCTGAATGAATTGAAAAAATATATTTATTAAGTCCTTACCATGGGTCACAAACTTAGAGCTGGAAGGGGCCTCAGAAGATCTAATCTAACTCCTCATTTTTTGTTTGAGGAAAACTGTAGTGTAGAGAGGGTTAAGTGACTTGCCAACCCAAGTTTTTGTTCTTCAGTCGTTTTTCAGTCATGTCTACCTCTTCATGACCCCAGTTGGGGTTTTCTTAGCAAAGATACTGGAGTGGTTTTCCATTTCATCTCATTTTACAAGTGAGGAAACTGAGGCAAACAGGATTAAGTAACTTGCCCAGGATCACCCAGTTAGTAAATGTCTGAGGTTGGATTTGAACTCAGAAAGATGGATCTTCCCGACTCCAGGCACAATGAACAATGGCGCCACCTAGCTGTCCTCTTGACAAAAGCATGATTTGACATTCAGTCTTCTTACTTCAAATCCAGGTCTGCACTCCTTCCATTGTAGCTAACATCTATACTGGGTGTCATGCCTAATATTGCCCAAATAAACTGTTAATACACACATGTGTTCTTATGGACTCTATGTACCTGTGGACACATGACATCCCTGATACAAGGTTGCAATAGGGCAAGTATTTTAAGTGTCAAACCTGATACTTTACATACACAATAGGTACTCAAAAATGATTTAATTACCAAGCTGAAGATAGGCATTTTATCTAGCACAGACACTTCCCTCCCTCCTAGAGAATGTCAGCTCTTTGAGGGCAGGGACTGGTTGGGTTTTTCTAATACCTCGTAGGGTGTAAGTGGCACATGATAAGCAGACATTTAATACATGCTTGAAATACAAGAAAGAATGGATGAAAGTATGCTACATAGGCTAAGTTAGTGAACATAAGGCCCTAAATTCCTTGCTACCATAAAGGTGGTGATTTGGGGACTGACAAAACCAGCCCTTTGTCTCCTTTATCCTCAATTCATTTCTCTGAGGGAAGACAAAACAAATATCATTGGCCCCATTTTATAGATGGTGGAAATGAAAGACAGGACAGATAATTGTGTACAGAACATTTTTTAGTGGTCCTGGTAAGCATCCTCCAAAACATTGCTTCAGTTCTCCTAGACAACTACTAGATGGCTGGGTAGAAAAGTGGGTAGAGCACTAGCTAAGTACTTAGGAAGACCTGAGTTCTAGTTTCAACTCAGACACTAGCTATGCGTAACCCTGGCCAAATCACCTGAGTTTGCTCATCTGTAAAATGGAGGTGACACTAGCACCTACCTCCCAGGACTGTTGTGAGTTAGGCAGCTAATATATGTAAAATGCTTTGCAAATCTTAAAGCACTATATAAAGACCAGCCACTCTTATTACCCGGCCCTCAAATCTCCACCTTCATAAAGAAGGAACTTAGGATAATGTCTTCACTCTCTGAGACCATCTAGACACCCAGGAGTGCCAAGGTCATCCATGCCTAACATGGACTGGGTCCTAGCAAGACTCAAGGAATGTGGCTAGTAGAGTAGGACCCATGACCTTAAGATTTGAAAGGAAGCTCAACGAGTGATGCTGAAATTGGAATGCCCAACTTTCTGAAACTCATGCCCCATATTTCTCTCCCAAAGATTCACTTGCATCCCTAATAGACTCATTACTAAAACTGCCTACAGATCTTATTTATTCACAAAAAAACACCTCTAAAACTTATCCACTGAAATCCAGTTGGCATTTATGGTCTTGATAGAGAAAGGAAGATGGGGAGGAAGGCAAAGGGCAGACTCAGAAACACAGACAACAAAAAGACAGGAATAAATTCTGGCAAGAGAGGAGTTAACCAGTTCTTAAATGGGGTATATATATATGTGTGTGTGTGTGTGTGTGTGTGTATTTTTTGTGGCCATTTTCCTCTGGGAGTTAAATTAATTTGTTCTGACCCTATAGCATCTATCTGAGCACATGTCGATCCCTATCTGCGTCAGCACTGTGTCAATAGATGACTCTACTACCGGCAGCAGGCTGGACTATTTAAGAGATAGCTTTTCCAAACCACCATAACTTGTCTAACCTGGACACTCATCACATCTCTCTGGGTCGAAATAGGACGGTACTATCATATTTTAAAGGTAGGCAATTCTGAAGTAGCTTATTTTTATGAGAGGGATCAAATTGTCATTCACTACCATAGGAATTTTTCTTGGTGTGTATTTCTGGTGATCTATTTCCCATGTCTCTTGTGGTTTTAAATTATTCTTTGTAACTGCATTTTAAAAAAATTATTCTTTATAACTGCATTTTTAACTATTCCTTCTTTCAGGCTTAGTCAAAATGAGAAATTATGACATTATTTTAAATGGCATTTTAATGACAGTGGTTAGTAAGCTGTTAGTGGGGTCAAATTGACTTGTGTTTTTGAAGAAAAAAAGTTTAGCCTCCAAGGTATTAGCATCCGCTCCCCTCATAGGTATAATCAAATACTGCAAAAGCTGTCCTTTCAAGTAGGACTGAAATCATTTGGAGAAATATAATGCAGGGTTGGGAAGGCTTTTAAAATCTTTTCAAATAAAAATGCTGAAAGATTTTAAAGGTTGAAGTAGCTATGGAAATACCTTTAAGCACTCCAGTGCTAGGAAAGTGAAAATTGCCTGTTTGCCCAGGGAAACCAGTATAAACCATTAATGTCTTCTCATATGTGTTCTCATCTCTAGTGAAATCTTCTAAGTCTTTCACATTTCTCATAAAGACACATGGGGTCTTCATTATGATTATGATTCAGTGCTAAATCATGTGTATTGCTTGTAAAAACTGTTGTAAATGGGATTTTTTTGTGGTTCTTGGCTGCTTTTTAAAATAGACGTTTCCTCACAATTCAATCCAACCTAATTGCTTCTTAACTAAGGGGGAAATAAACTCTTTGTCTGAGTCTCATCCAATGAATAGAATCTTCTTTTTAAAAAGAGTTCTCCTTCCCTTCATCGAAGGTTCTGCTGTCCTGTTTTTGCCTCTCCCTGACTACGAATCTATTCTGGTGCATCCAAGCTAGTTAAGGATGTTCCATTTGAAGTAAATGTTTCCTCCTAAAGACAGAAAAAGATAGAAGCTCTTTTTATTGGGACAGGGGGAAATGCCATCTACCTTTTCATAATGTGTATTTATCAAAAAGTCAGGAATAAGAAAGTAAGGGAGTATAGATGAAAGACCGCTGGAGTTCTGAGCTGAGAAATCATAGGTTTATAAAATCACAGATCTAACTGAAGTTCTACCTGAAATGGAACTCACAGGTTTTCTAATCCAAACTCCTCATTTTATAGAGGAGGAACTGAGACCCAAAGAAGTCACGTGGCTTGCCCCAGGTCACAAAGGTAACTTAGCAGTCCAGCTAACTAAACTCAGGTCCTTTGCTTCCAAGGTCAGTCCTGGCTTCAACCAGTTCTAGCTGTATAACATTTGACAAGAAAGTGAACCTTTTTGGACCTCAGTTTCTTCATCTGAGAAATGGGGAGTTTGGTCTAGATCGAGGTTTCTTAATCTAAGGTTCATAGATTCCCAAAGGGTCCATGAACTTGGATGAGGGGGAAAAAAATCACATCTTTATTTTCACTAACCTCTAACTGAAGTTTAGTGCTTCCTTCAATTATGAATTTTTAAAAATATATATTACTTTGAGAAGGGACCCATAGGTTTCACTAGAGTGACACACACAAGAAAAGCTTAAGAACTCCTGTGCTAGGTACTTTAATCTGCCTCCTTGCATTCCTCCAAGACATATATTTCACTGGAGAAAGAACAAACAAAGCAAAAAAAAAAGGCTGGATGATCTCATTTATCTCTGAGATTCCTTCCACTTAGAAAATTCTACCATTCGATGAAAGGATTGATGGAATCAATCAGGCAGCAATAGAAAGACACTTATAGGTAAAGGGTCTGTCTCATAGCATCACCTGAAAATGTCCTTTGGATACTATTTGTACTTTCTCACAAGCTCCTCTAGAGTGTAACCAGGCACCACCTTAGCTCTTACCTGGGATAGTCTCTGGCCAGTCTTCCTCTGTTTTCTACAGCTCATTCAGCTTAGCAGTCTTCTCTCTCCTAACTGCCTCCGATTTCCTTCCCTCCTCCTGCAGCTATGTACAGTAGCCTCAGTGTCTGCGTGCTCCTCGCTGTCCTGTCAGCAAGCTCCTTGGGACAACAGCCAAAAGAGTCCAGCCATGCCAACCCAGGGGCTTCTGAGCTGGAGCAGAGCCTTGCTGCCCAGCACCGGCATGCCCGTGCTCCTGCCTCCCCCAGTCAACTGAAGCCTCTACAGAGAGCTGATGGAAATGGGGACTCCAGGAGCAACTTCGGGGCTTTGCTGGCCAGGTACATCCAGCAAGCCAGGAAAGGTAACAGAATCCCCCACCTTCTTCTCCCCCATCTCTTGCAAATATCTCTACAAGTTGTTTTTTTTTTTTGCAGTGTTCAGTAGGAAAACTCAGAAGTAAATGCAGTTATAGGAACAAGTTCTTTTTTTTTGTCTTTTCCTCAAGACATATTTTGCAAACAACAACAAAACCAGTAACCGTTAATAGTATTCCCAGTGCTGAAATAATAATAATAATTAATGATAATGGCAGCTGATGTTTATGGAGTGCTTTAAGGTTTCACAAAAGCATATGTTCCTTAACTTAAAGCTGGAAGACATTGTTGAGGTTTGCAAGGTGAACCCAGTGAGGTAAGTCCTATTTATTATTCCCATATTACAGATGAAGAAATTGAGGCTTGGAGTGCTGCAAAGATTTTGGTATTTGGCAGTGGTTCTTAACTTGGGGTCCATGGACACCTTGGGGATATATGGATAGATTTCAAGGGGGTCTGTGAAGTTCAATAGGAGAAAAAATTGCATCTTCATTTTCATTAGGTTTCCTATTTATTTTATTTTATGTGTTTAAAAACATTATTTTCTTCACAGATTGCCAAAGCCATCTGTGATACAAAAAAAAAGGTTAAGAAAACCCCTATTTCTAATTGATAGCATATTGCTTGCTTTCTCAATGGGTAGAGAAGGGGTGGCAGGGAGGGAGAGAATTTGGAACTCAATTTAAAAAAAAATTACAAAAATGAATGAATGAATAAAAGGGAAGGGAAGGAAACCTAAAATAAATAATTTTTTAAAACCCTGTTCTATATGATGTTCAGTGGCTAACTAAAGGGCCAGGCTGTGAGAAGAAGAGCCACCCAGTAATTCAGTTTCTCATAGTGACATTGTTTATTGGTAGAGGCTTCAGACATTTCTCTGAAGATGTTAATATCTCCTCAATAAATATTTTCACACCGAGCACTGAATTAATTCATTCAGATAATTAAAATAGGGTAGAGTCATAAAAAAAACTCCTAATCCCTATTTTTTTAACCAAATATAGAGGGTCAGCGTGGTACAGTAGAAAGGATGCTCGAGCTGGGGTTCCTAGTTTGAATGTTGGGCTTTCTTCTTGATCCCTATGTAAGAAACCACGTTGTCTCTCCTGGATGTCTGATTCCTTATCTATAAAATTGAAGGGATTAATCTAATGGCCTCCAATGTCCCTTCCAGGCCTAAACCTATGATCATACAATTCCTATGCATTTTGACTTTAAAATCATTGAGCAAGATGTGAATTATGATAAGCTTACAAGATTTGACAAAAAATAACGGCCCTTAGAACATTAAACTATTCTATGTCAGATTTCACCAAAGCAAAGATCAGAAGGAGTAAACGCTTCATGTTAAATGAATGCTTCTCTGCCAAGCTGACAGGGATCGTCCGTGAGTGAGAGGGATATTTGGGTTTCTTTGAACAAGAAATCTTTAAAGAATATCACCGCTGTGAGATGATCTGCTTATTTATTTCTTACTGTTGAATACAGATTGTTCACCAATTCCCTAAGAGACAAGTGAACCATCATCTCTCCAGCACCTGATGTTATTCCCTGGGAATAAAGTAGGTCCACAGAAAGAGTCGTGGACTGGGATCCAGGAGTCCTGGACTTCAGTGCCATCTCTGTCCTCACTTAGCTCAAGGTGGAAAGAACAGAGGATCTAGAGGTTCTAGCACTTAGGACCTATGTGACTTTGGTCAAGTCAGTCCCCTAACTTGTATGGCTCTCAACTTAATAAGCATTTATTAAGATAATATTACATTTTAAAATTGAGCCAATGTGCAGCCCACAGGGATCCTTATATAATGGCTACCATTTCTATTTGGGCTTGACACCACTGTTAGGGAATTCCTGAATGAGGAAGCTTCCTCTACCAATGCAGGTAGGCACCCTTGAGTTAGAGTTGAGCAGACCACTGAAAGGTTAAGTGACTTGCCCAGGGTCACACAGCCAATATGTATCAGAGGCAGAACTTGAACCCATGTCTTCCTGGTTTCTAGGGAGGCCAATGCTGCCTCAGGTCAATAGTTTTAGTAATTGCTTCAAGTGGGGCTAGTTACATGTGACTTTCCTTTTATCCATACATACTACCTATGTCATGAACTAAGTTTGAGACTTTATTCATAGGATCATGGCATATAAAGTCAAAGTGATCATAAAAGTTATCTAAATCCAACCCTCTTGACTCACAGGCAAGGAAATTAAGGCAGAGAAATGACATGATTAAGTCATGGTCTCATAGGTAGGAAGTAGAAAAGCAATGATTCAAACCTAGGACCTCTTCACTGGGAAAAATTGGGGAAGATGTGGCTAAACTACACTTCACCTGATAAGGATCTGGAGGTTTTAGTGGACCACAAACTCAATACAAGTCATAGCAGTAAAAGAAGAAAAAAAAGTATAATGCAATCTTAGGTAAAATTCAGAAAGGCGTAAGAATAAGGAGGGGATCTGCTTGCTGAATTCTGCCCTGATCAAGCCATATCTGGTGTATTGTGTTCAGCTTGAGGCACAGATTTTAGGAGAGACTTTTGATAACCTAGGAAACATCCAGAAAAGGGGAGCACAGATGGTAAAAAGTCCTTGAGATCATGCCACACAAAAATTAATTGGAGGAACTGGGAATCTTTAACCTGGAGAATAGAAGACTTAGGGGATGTGTAGTATACTTAAAGTATTTTTTAAAGTATTAAGTCTTTAAATATGTAAGTATTTTAAGTATTTAAGTATTTTAAAGTATTTAAGTATTAAAGAGAGCTGTCTTGTGAAAGAGGTGTAAGACATGCTTTTCTGGGCCCCAGAGGGAAGAACTGAGAGTCATTGGTGGAAGTTATAAATGTGCAAATTTAGTTTCAATACAAGAAATAAAAAATCCTGACAATGAAAAGTGGAATGGGTTGCCTCTGGAAATCATGACTTCTCCCTCATCGAAGGTCTTCAAGTCAAGATCTTCAAGTCATCTTCAAGATGACCACTTGTTGGGCCTGTTGTAGAGTGTATTTATTCAGGAATAGGTAGAACTAGCCAATTTCCAAGGTCCCTTCCAGTTCTGATTCTGTGATTCAGAGTCCAATGAGGAATCTCTCTCTCTATATATATATATCACAGCCACATCCCCATCATATGGCCCCATTAGGGGAAAAGTAGAGGATTGGCTCTTCCTAGAGTTTTCTTCATATTTCCCATTAATTGTAGCCCTTTGAGCCAACTGTGAGTCAGAAGGTGAAGCTAGACTACTACTTGAGCAGATTTTCTTCCTCTTAGGAAATTGGTGCTGATTTTCTCTTCCCACTAAGCCATTTGGAAGTTAGAAATCCTATGGCAAGGGTTGCATCAGCTCTTTAATGATTTTCTAAGTTTTTGGTTAATTAGCTGTAAGAAATAGCTTGAGATACTTCCTAGCCGTGTGACTTTGGGCAAGTCATCCTGGTCCTCAGTTTCCCCATCTGTGAGATGAAGGAGTTGGACTAGAGACCCCTTCCAGATCTAAATCTGCTCTCCTCCTAATCCTTTGCCCTAAAATGAAACTTCTTTTACAGCCTCTTTTGATCCCATTTGCTTTAAGGGTAAGATCATTTTGCAAGACCAAATAAAATGTAGAACACCCTTGTCACACAAGCTGCCCATATTACAAGGGTGGCACGCAATAACAAAATTAGGCTCTCCTTCAAAACTAATATGAAACATCAATATGTAACTCTTGCCCACTTCCTTTGGATATTTTGTATCTCCTGAGATAGTTCACATTTCAGACTTTTAAGTTGCATGTAAAGTGAAATATGAGTTTACAATTAAACAAAGTATGTTGCTGGAGGTTATCAAATATCTCTCAGATAAAGGGTCTGGAAAGTATTTTGTCTCCCATCTGTTCTTGCCTAGCCTGTTTTGTAAAGTCTAAATGAACTGCACCTTTGGGAACTCCTCCATGACCCTTCCCACCATGACCATGGCAATATCAAAATTCCCTTACTGGCTTCCTGGCCCTGCCCCAAAATCGCTGAGCCCATTTTCCTATTTCAAGGTATTTTCTTTGCTTGAATCAGCAGTTCTGTCACTGGGGATGTTTTGATTTGCCAGCCCTCTATGGAGGGGCATTTATCCTAACTATAAAAACCATATTTGCAAAGCAAATCTCAAGCTTATATATGTTACAGCTAAATTCTTAAAATTGGCTAATATTGACAGGGAGCTACATATTTATAGAGTCTGACTGAGTTGACCATCTGTTCCTAACCTAGTGTTTTATTTATGGAACAAATGAACATTATGACCTGTTGGCATAGCTAAGAGAAGCAGCAATGGAGTAGCTGATAAAAAGCTGACTTTAAGTCCAGAAGTCCTGGGTTTGAGTCCTGCCTATGAAATGTGTGACCATGGACAAGCTATTTAAATTCTCAGACTAAAAATTAAAGATTGCATTGCTGATCTGCATAGTGGAAGGCATTTATACACTGGCACATTAGTTTCATTTGTTTTAGTCATGTCTGCCTCTTTGTAATCCTTTTTAGGAGGTTTTCTTGGCATTTCTTCTCCAGCTCATTTTACAAATGAGGAAACTGAGGCAACAGGGTTAAATGACTTGCCCAGGGTCACCCAGCTAGTGTCTGAGGCTATATTTGACCTCAGGAAGATGAGTCTTCCTGACTCCAGGCTACGCTTTAGCCACTATGGCACCACCTAGCTGCCACTGGCACATAGTAAGCACTTAAGTAAATGTTTGTTGAACTGATTTAGATGGAAATCTTCAAGGGCAGAGACTGTCTTTTTTCTTTCTTTGTCTCCCCTGCATTTAGCACATTACCTGGCATATAGCAAGCACTTAATAAATGCTCATTGATTGACCCACTCCCACTGATGAAACCATATACAAACTATATACAAAAGGCCTAGCATGCTTAAATGTGATGAAACATGCTTGAATTTGCTTTTTAAAATTTTTTTGGCTAGGCAATGGGGTTAAGTGACTTGCCCAGGGTCACACAGCTAG